TGGTGCTGATTTTAGCAGAGTTGTTTTGACCTCAGTTTTACCGTTACGTCCACCATCTGGAGCTTGTCAGTCACCCAATTGTGTGCATTCACAGAGACCACGAAGAAGAAAGAGAGGTTACCAACCTGTAACCATGGTTCTTCAAGTGGTCCTCTGTGAATCTACACATCCTGCCCATCCTCCCCGCTGTCCGTCACTTGTCGTCTACACTTAAGTCTGACGGTGGTGGACTTTTGGGAACTGAGGAGGTCTGTGGCAGGCAGAGCATGTGCTCCACGGGGGAACGTCCCACTAACCACATGTTTTTAAGTTCTAGAAACTTCCGAGAGGTCCTGTGCAGGCACAGTAATACCCAACTGTGTGGATTCACAAAGGACCACTTGAACTATGGTTACAGGTAGGTAACCTCTTTTTCTCCTCCCATCCTTTGGGACCTCATTTGTTCTCCAAGAATTCTCAAGGATCATCCAGTCCAGTCCCCTGCAGGAATCAGACCTTAGAGATGAAGGCCCATATCCAGTAGCTTTTAGATGGGGGTGGGGGGGTGGGGAGGAGTCTTAAGCGCCCTGTTAGCGTGTCCAAAGGAGAAGACTATCTTCAAGGTTTCCCTTGCTTGTTGCCCCGGCAAATGTGCTGAGTCACTGGCAGTCCAGCATATACAGTATGGGGGAACAGGAACGGAGGGGTTGGGGAGCTCCTTCTGAGTTCTCTTCAAAGCTTGCTCGTTCTTGGTATTTGCAGGCCAACGCACCCAACTGGCTGCGCAGAATTGTTTTTATCACATGCCATCGGGGTGCTTCTGACTTATGGTGACTCTAGGAGCCAGTGGCCTCTAAAACTGCGGTCCCCAAACTTTTTCGGTCCGCAGACTGGCTGGGGAAGGCGGGGCACCCCCCCCCTGCGCTCGTGACCTGTCCAAAGCTGTGGCTTCCTTTCCTGAGTCAATCCATTCCCCATTAAGTCTCCCTCTTTTTCCTGCTGCCTTCTGCTTCTCTGAGCTCTTGCTTGTTTGCTTTCTTTCTTTCATGTAATTGAATTTAATTTAATTTGGTGTGAGAGTTGTCTTCAGATGCTGGTGCCCTCAGCTTAGTCATTTATTTATTTTATTTATTTATTTTATTTATATCCCGCCTATCTAGTCAATAGACCACTCTAGGCGGCTCACAACAGGGGTACAACAATAACTAAAAACGAATTTACAAAGAAGAAAACTTTCAACCATGAAATTATACGCTAAGAAAAAGAAAAAAGGAAAATCA